ACTGGGGACTTTCACTTGAGAGAGAGAGAGACAGAGAGTGAGACAGAGACAGAGAGAGATGCACTATGAAAAGGGAATAACTTTTGTAGTATTAGCGTTTAGACTTAATTTAACAATGTAACTGACCTCAACCCATCTGCATATATTCTTCACTTGCTTTTCCTAAAATGTTTTTTAAGTGCCCCTATTAGGAATCAGTACATCCCTACTTTGAAAATTCACACAGATACATGCTAAAAGCCAACCAGATTAAGAGTACACTTATCTTGATGAGCACTGAGTAATATATGGAACTGTTGAATCACTATATTGTACACCTGAAACTAATATAACGCTGTATGTTAACTATACTGGAATTAAAATTTTTAAAAAGCCAATCAGAAGCAACAATAAAAACACACCTGGTAAGCAACTAAGTTTTAATTCAAAGGATACTAAGCCATAAAGGGCCTAGAATGAACATCCCAATTAGCCAATGTAGTGACAAGCAGTCAACACCTTATTATTTAATCATTAAAGAGAATCTTGCCATAATTTCCCTTTACATATTTCAAAAAAAAAGGAATTAAGAGTACAACACAAGACCCACAACAACAATCAAAGAGTAAAGTTAGATGAATCTAAGACCCCCATCGATGCAAAGCCTGCGGACTGAGAGTTTCCAAGACAAAGGCATTAATTGGGAGCCTGTGAAGTATTTACAATTTAAATAAGATGTGTCCATGTGTAAGCATTTAGAAACAAACTACCTGACAAAGGGACCATTTTCCTGTCTCTTGCTGTTTGTGGCCAGTTTTCTTATTGGATGAAAACAAATTGCCTGCATTTCTAGTATTAGTAAATATCCAGTGGCCTCATCTATTTTTTTCTAAAGCAGCAAATCCAATTCATCAAGGACATTAGGCTGTCCCTTCCCTCTCAACCCCATTCCTTACCATAACACCTCCCCAAAAGAGAAAGCTAAAATCTCCTTTGGATGCATCCCTACCCGACTTTGCAGGGAGGGGGCGTTTTCAGTCAAGTCCAAGTTCAGTTTTAAGAATTTTTAACTCAAAAGATGCTTTAGAAACAACACCCCACACTTCTAAAATAAAGCAATCGCCACCAGGGTTTTCCTAGCCCACTTGGGAACCAAAGCTCACTGGCCCAAGTCTGCCCCGGATCCCCGAGGCCCCAGGCCTGGCGCTCTCCAGCCTGGGACGCACAGCCCCGGAGGCCGATTCTCCTCCCCTGGGAGTTTTAGCAGCACTTGGCATTTAACCTGCCTGGCGTGCGTGGCTTTCTGGTTCCATCTCCTTGAGACACATTACTTCTCCCCAGATGTCAGGCACAAATCTGGATTAACATGCAACAGGGCGCCCAGTGCAGCCCGCCAGCCCTCGCCCAAGAGCTGTTAAATGCAGATTCAGCTGAGGACCCCCCGGAGAGCTGCTGTTGAATAAAAATTGTAATCCAAAGGGACCATTTCTTTGCCTCCCGCTGCTTGTGGGAAACCCGGGCTGGCGCCCGAACACAGGCCCATCTAGTCCGCGCTGGCTACGAGCAGGCGTGGCCACCTCGGGAGGCGGCCTTAGGGGCCCGGAGACTCTTCACTCCTCTCTCTCCACTCTCTGGACTGGTTCTTGGAGTGGAAAATGCTTAGATTCAAGGAGTGGCGAGCAACAGACAGCCCTGGGAAGGAAGACTTCATTCGACGGCTCCTTGTGGGAGCGAGACCTAAAATCTAACGTGTGGGAGGCCCGGCTCTTCCCCGCCTAACCACTCTTGACGCCCCCAATTCCACCCTGAACCCCCCCAAACAGGCGTCCAGCCTCCCGACGGGCCCGCTTCCTTCTCTACTGACAACCAGGCTCAACCCTCGCCTCGACGCCTCGCACCATCGTTTCTCTCTGCTCCGGCTCCCGGGGCACAGCCTGGTCCTCGCCGAGAACCGAGGCCCGGAAGCCCCCGGTGCCCCTCGCCTGCCCCCAGGCTCCCGGCATCGGAAGCGCCGTGCGGAGCTGGGAGCGAGGCCGTCGGGAGAGGGCGCCCGGGAGGCCTGCGCCCGCGGGAGGTGACTCTCAGGCCTGGCTCCTCGGGGTCTGGGAGTGGAAGTGGGCGGCGGGGAGGGGGGGGGACGGACACAGAAGCGGGGATGGGAAACGAGATTACGGCTTCTACTGGCGTCTTAATCTGATAAAAATTAAAAAAAAAAAAAACACATCACTAAGAGGCCAAATGGATATCCGCCGACTTAGCCCTCCGGGAAACCGGCTGGTATCAAAGTCGTCGATCCAAAGTCCCTGCGCGGGTGGCAGCCTTCGCGCCCTCCGAGGATAAAAGTAAAATAAAATAAACCGTGCCGCCAGTAGGCCCTAGAGACAGAGGGGTTAATGAGCTAACGAGGAGCTGCGCTCGCACCACACCTGAAGCATCCAGTCCTGGAGCGCACCCTCTGCGGGGGCTCAAACTGGCTGGGCCACATTCGCAGACAGGTGGCGAGGCCGTCCTTTTTGGGCCCAGCCCCCAGGGCGCCGCATTAAGGGTCCAGCAACCCCAGGGACCTGCAAGCAGGCTTCGGTCCGGAGAACTGGCTATCAGCGGGCGGCCCTAGGGCCTGGTCTGTCTCCCCACCTCCCAGAGCAGGGGACTCCACTCCGGGGCCGAGGCTAGGTCCCGCGTGCGCCCCGCGCGGTGCGCTCCCAGTCCAAAGAGAGCCCAAGCACGCTCGCTCCTGGCTCCGGGGGAGCGGACAATTAGGAAAAACAAACTTGGGTTTGCTGCCCTCTGACCAAGACCGAGGGGAGCTCCAGGGGTCACGCGAGCGCGCCCACGCGCATTGGCCAACAGCGCCACGAGCCGAGCCAAAGCTGCGAAGCCCACCAGTAAGCGGTGGGGACGGAATGAACACTTCTCATTTTTTTAGGTGAGGGAAAATAAAATGCGAATTTTTATCCACTACAATTGCCTACGAATCTGCATATCTCAAATTAAGGTAACTGTGTAACAAAAGTTTACCGAAGGAGCGGGGGAAAATTCAATGATGTTATATCAATTTTGTGTCCCCCCCAATAAAACCCATAGCTTTAGTCCTTTATCTTTGGCTTTAATAAAATAATGATTCGTTGAGAAAATGGGGTATAAATCTTCATTTTGGAGGCAATTAAAGTGTTGATTTCATTCATGCCCCTAAGCGATTCTTGTAATTTGCTCAAATAGCTTTATGTACCCAGCACTCCAGAGCTCTTAGAATCCCATTTTCTAGTTAGGCTTGTTGGATTACAATTTTTATTCAACAGCAGCTACACGAGGGTTCCTCAACGGAATCTGCATTTAACAGCTCCAGGGCAAGGGCTGGCGGGCTGAACCAGGCGGGAGGCCCGGCAGCCCGCAGGGCCCGAGCTGGGGCGGGAGCCGGCTGCAGTTTTCCCACCTCGGCGGGGCCGCACAGGCATTGCGCAGACTGCCTGTTCTGTGCTCTCGTCTACACTGCCGAAAGTTTGCAACTTGCCAAATCATGGTAAAGAACGGGCGCGTTGGCGTTTTTAAAGCTCAGCTCTGCCTGCCCTCCACCGCTCTTGGGGAAAGGAGGAATTCGGCCTCTGTCGTGGGATTACCGGGAGAAATCCAAACTGGGAATTTATTTTAAAAGGGTGATGTTGAGAGAAGAAAACTTTAAGATGACACCAAGACAGACCCAGGAGTCGGGCACTCCTGCAAGGACTCTACAAGATAGCGGCTAGCCAACAGTGATCATGGCAGAGCTTGCAAAGGAAAACCCTGCATGACTGGCTGTCCTTTGGCTTAACAAAGGCAGGCTGATCTCTCCCCCCCACCCCAAGACGGAACTCACGTGCCAAGTCAGAAAGAGAAACAACTCTAGGCCTTCACTCATGTATGGAGAGGCCAGAGGAGACCCGCAACCCAAATCTCTATTCGCGTTGCAGCAATTCGCTACGGAGAACTGTCCTGAGCCCGTTTCATCTCACCCGCTCCTCAGGTTTTCACTTTCATTGCATTTTTGCAACTTCTTTGGGCCAATCCAGAGACGCAGCGACAGGAGAGAGAGAGAGAGAGACTGGGAGCAAACAGTGGCGTTAGGGTGAGAGAGGGAGAGAAATCCCCCCAGCAACTCCAAATAAAAGTCATCCCCACTTAGCAAAGCAGCGGAAGAAGGGCCTGGAGGGAGGACCGGAGAGGAGGGGGCGAACAAGCAAGGGCCGGCAGTTGAGAGCGAAGGCGGGGCGAGGCCCCCCACCGCCACACCGAGGGAGTCGCCGGGGTGCCCCTGACGCTGACACTTCCCAAAAGCTGCCAACCTAGAGGGCCCAGTGCACGTACCAGCTGGAGGATGAGTAGAAAGGAGGAGAAACGTCCATATTTATCTGTTTTTATAACCTCGGCCTGGTCTTATTTTTTCTATTAAGTACAATAAAATGGGCGAGCTTGCAGCGAGCACTGCACAAAGCAATGCTCAGTGAGGTCTAGAAGCGTTCGCCCGAGGAAAACTGACAAGACAGGCTAATGAACCGTATAGACAGGGAGAAAATAGCCAGCATTTGCTAGATTTCAAACCCTCGCTGTCTCTCTTAGACCACCTATCTTGGGTTTATTCCTAATAAAATAAGAAATAAGCAGACCCTACACTTTTCTTTTCTTCGAAATAGAAGGGGAAAAAAATGCTCCAGAACAAAGCCCTACAATCAGAGGCGGTCACTGGCAGTTAACACTCCCATTATTATAGAGGGTAAATAAAATAAAGACAAAAATTAAAAGCGACAAGAAACAGGTCAAGTTTGCAGGCAAAGCTTTTACAAGCTCATCTCTCCAGGTCGAATCCCAGAGCCAGCCTTAATGAAGCAATAATAGCCACATTATTCAAAAATTTTCATTTCGATGGAAATGTATCTAAAAGGGACTTAATCATATGCAAATAATAAAAGGAGGTGGTAGTGACCCAGCAAGCAATATGCATACAGATTTTTTTTTTTCTAGGGATGTTGAAATTGAAAAGCGCATACCTGGTCGGTTAGATTTGCTGATCTTGTTATATCTTCACTGTCTGATTTTGATCCTCCTTCTCTATCGTCTATCACCAAATCGATAGGCATTTTCCCTTTCAAACAGCTAATATACCGGTGGCAGAAATTGTCACATAATTCGTGTACCTACATTATGACAGAAATAAAAAAATGGAAATATAATCAGGAGTGCATAAATGACATTGACAAGTGCAAACCACCCCCCTTGTGAGATCCAAACTTCCAAATAGGGAAACACAGAGCAATTGTCCTCCAGAGACCCCCAGACGCATCCAGAATTAGGAATAACTTTCTTTTCTTGCAAAATAGAGATATCCCAGAAAATTGACAGTGACAAGATGATTCACAGGCTACAACATATTCAACACCCGTGTTAAATTCATCTGCTCCCAGGGCCGTGGCCATTAGAGAGGTGACCTGCGTGGGTGACATTTAAGGTAAACTATTTAATTTCATCCACTTACTTTATCATAAGTTCTTTTCCAATGAGTCTAAGGGAAAATGTGATTGTGTATATAAACACACACACACACACACACACACACACACATATATATATACCTCCAAAGGACCAGTACTATGGTGGCATAGGATATATGTCTGACAGCCCAAGTCCTTATAACATTTGTAATTAGGGATCCTCCCCATAAGAAGCATATTTTAGGTTACTTTTAAAAAATATAAGAAAATCAAATTGCCAGCACTCTTGATATGAAAAACACCTAGAGCCACAAAAAAAGTACCAAATTGATTTTTTAAAAAAAGGAAAAAGCAAGCTTCAAAATATTTAGGTATAAGTGGAGCGGTCTCTTACAGGCCTCAGATATCACTGACATGCAAAAACTCACAAGAAACCCCAATGTGCTTGCAATTTAATGTTAGTTTGAATTACAATGCATTAAGTTTTTATTGCTGAGATTTATAGAACAGCTAGCAAAATCATGTTATCCCACACCCTTTCTTGAGTGTGAAGGTGGGGTGTGTGCAGGATTCAGATTCAAGGAATTGACACAACTATCAACTCTGCTTTGTCTCTGCACAAGGTTTAATGTGCCTCCCCCACCACCTCCTCCAGACTCCCTGCCCACTCCTCCTCCTCCTCCCTCCGCCTCTCCTCTGTGTCTGACCTGCCGCTGCTCTCAGACTGTCTTCCAGAAACTCACCAAAACTAAACAAAACTCCCTCACCCACCCACCCAGAGGTAGCAAAGAAAAGGGGGAAGAGGAAGAGAAGAGATCACAAAGGTAAAACCTGTGAAGCAAACTCACAACAGCATTCTAAACATCAAGAGAGATGCATAGAACTGCAACTATTTATACAAAGCCAGCAAAGTATTAAGAATGAATGCGAGGCTAGGGCATTTGAGATGCCGGTTTTAGTGGCTGAAATTGTAATTAAACTGCAAAGAGAAATGGACGCTAAGATTGGCCTTGACACTAATTACCAGAAAGAAAGACATTTATGCAAATGTCTCAGAAGCCTGAACTTCAGCCATTCAGAACCCTCCCCCCACCCCACCCAACCCCACCCCCTCAAGTTTGGGGGTGAGGAGAAAGCAAAAGGAAAAGAGGCTAGAGAAATTACCTTCTCTAATTCCAACAGATGAAACCTTAATACTTGTATGGCTTGAATCATCTGCAAAGATACAAAAAGAATCAGCACCCTATTCCTAGTTTGCAGAAAACTGGCTGTCACAGCTCTACTATCTCCAGCCTATCCCCCCCCCAAGTAAATAGAGTTATTTTGATTTATGGCAATAACACTAAAACTTAATAGCAGCGACTGGGTACCATCTAGAGGTTTATATTTCTTAAGGAGAAAAAAATAGCTAAAACAACAACAAAGCATCTAAGTGGGGATCATAAACACTCTCCTCTCCCATGGCTCTTCCCCTTCTCAGCCCCACTGCCCCCACCCCACCTGCAAGGGCCACATCCCTCGACTAGATGTTTCCTTGTAAGGAGTGCACAGAAAATATTCCAAATAGTCCCCAAAGTGTGGCTTTTCACACTGCAAACTTTCTGCGGCTTTCCGCACACCTTTCAAGCATACTGGTGCTCTGGGGGCTCTTGCCCGGTTGCTGCCCTCGTGACGCGACTTTGAGGACTGGGAAGTCCGCAAAGTTTAAGCACACACGCTGACAGGCCCGGAGATAAATCCCCGCGCTGATTAGAGCTGCGCTGCCCGGCTGTCATAAAAAACAAAAGCTCGCGTTTCCCCGCGCCGGCTTGCCCGGCCCCTCTCGAGGTGAATTTATTTCCCCGGGATCTTGTCTCGGACCACTTGTCCGTGGACGGAAACGTCTGCAGCCGCCTTGCAGCTACGGGAAGACCCGCCTCGAAATCTTGGGGCTCTTAAAGCAAAGCTGGGGGCTTGGGGGGAGGGGTAATGGGGGAGGGGAGTAAGGGGTCCGCTCTTACCAAGTTATCCAGTTCTGGATTAGAAGAAAATAGAGGTTTTTCTGCGCGAATCTAAATACAAGTGAGAAGGGGGGGGGAGAAAGAACATTTGAAATCTGGTCGCCTTCCTAGTTTCTTGCCTCATTACACTGTCGGGGGCAAAGATGTAACCTCCGGGAAGGACTCGGTGACACCGAGTTCGTCCCGCGCAGAAACACTTCAGTGTGAATCAAATAAGCCAAAAACAAGCCCAGAGCTCAGGGTTACTTCTACCAGCAACTATGCTTCTAGAGGACGCTGCCCTGCTCGCCAAGACCAAGGCAGCTACAGCGCGTGGTGTTTGTGATTTTATTTTATAGAGTGAGCTTTCTGCGTTAGGTTATGAAGCCTGAGTTGGGAAGATATGGGTGATTTTAAGTCGTCCGCGGACACTCATACAGGAGGAAAATCTCAGGGCAGATGTCACAGGCATGGCTTAGGGTGGACTATTTGCTGGTTACTTTTGAAAATGTGCTGGGTGAGGGAGGGAGTTTCTTTCTTTCTTTCTTTTCTCTTTACTTTTTTAAACACGTATTTTGCTGACCTGTTTGGCGAACACGGCTATATCTTCATTGAATGACTCTGACGAGCAGACGTCCCCGCCCGCCACCCCCGGCTCGCGGGGGGTACAAGTAGCTAATTCACATTTCTCAAAAATCAGTGCTAAGAGAGGGAAGAGGGGGTGTCTGCAAGAAAATACAACAGTCACAAACAACACAATGGTTAGTCCCGAGTCAGTGAAAAAGGCGCCCAAGAAAAACAGCCAGAGGAGCTCCAGGCAGGGACCCCCTCTCTGATTTTGCCATCCACTTTTTTCCTCCGCCCTCCCCCCCCAGGTGACTGCTCACCTCCCCTTCCTCCTAGGGCTCCGAAGTCGGAGGCCCTTAGCCATGGACAGTATCTGAGGAACTGTTCAGCATATCTGGCCGGAGAAATTGGTAACATTTGCTAAGAATAAAACCCAAGCCGTTCCAGCAGCCATTTTGAATTAAGTTTCCCACCCCGACAAGCCCTCGTCCCTCCGCGGCACATCTAGGACCTGGTGAAGAAAGGCGGTGGGCGTAGGGGTTGGGAAGGCTCATTCAAGTAGGTTCCTCCAAGGCAGCCTTGCGAAGCCCAAGACTCGGGGGGATCATGGTGGCAGGCACTCAGCTAACTTGGGGAAAGGACCTCTATGGCTGCAGGACCAACTGTCAGAGGGCTGCACCTACCGATCCCGACCCCACGGCCCTCGGAGAGCAGGAAGGCTCCTCCTCAGCTCCCGGCACACTTCCCTCCCTTAGCCAATGGCCCCACTGCCCCCCAAAGAAAGTTCCTTCAAATGTTCCTGCGGTAAAGCCTTTCATTTTTGTCTCTGCGGAATGGCAAAGCAGCTAGAATAGCGAGCGAGGGGCCTAGATGTCGCTTATCTAAACCCATAAAAAAAAAAAAATGCTTCTACTAATGCTCAAGGAGGTGTCTCAAGTCTTTTATTAGCTCTCACAGCCCAGCCAGGAATTTAACAGTTTGGGGTCCTTTTCAAAGCTTCCCCAAATGTTCTGTCCCTGAGCCTAAACCATTTGCAGTTAACGCTGCGGAGAGAACGCTGGGATTTCAACAAGCCCATCGCACAAGGGACCAGAAGATAAAGCAGAAAGGGTTTTCAGCTGGGGAGGGTCAGTGTGGCCTGATTTTTTTCAAAAGAAGAAATAAATAGAAATAAAAGTTGCTGCAAAGTAAAATGAGGTCTCCAAATTCATGAGCACACAGTAGGCACAAGTGACTTTCAAAGGATTTTACCAGCCCTGGGTCTAATCGACTGGCCTGGGAGAACACCGTGTACACCACAGTCTGCAAACAACACTGGCCTGAGAGCACCCCCACACCTACTTCCAAATCCTGCAGGTTTCGCCTTTGAACACAAAGTACTAAAACGGCTAGAAGTTTCTTAATGTCTATAACAACTCAGAGCGAGTTCTCTCCTTGCCTATGGTGGTCAAACTCCCTAAATGCAAAACATGTTCCCCCTTGCCTGACCTGCAACTGTCCTCCCTTGATTTTATTGTGCGGCGGCCGAGCCAGCATACGGTTGCTGAGTAAACTTAGCAAGTCAGAACAATCAGTGGCTTAAAAGATTTTCCCTTAAACTAAAAGTTTCGTTCCAACACAAAGGCGCCTACATTTAGAAATCCCCAACGCTCTCCCAGCGAAGTCGAGCAACCGAGGACTCCAACCCGCTGAGCTACAGAGCCGGGGTCTGAGAGGGGACGAGGGGCCTTTGGCAACTTCTCCTGCAGGGCGACCCCCTTCGTCGGCACGGCCTCGGCAGAGCTGGGTGCTGGGCAAGCGCTGAGGTGTGTGCAGATGGGGGGCGTCCGGGATGGCAGGCTGCCCCCGCAAATTCTCCATGCAATGCAAATGAAAAGTTACCAAATAGTGTACCTCCAAGCCATAGAGCTCTGGCTTTCCTTTTACCAAAGGCACAGGGAAATAGAAGAAACATCCCCTCTCTACTACTTAACCTGCTGCCCATTGTACCTACCCATAAATGGCATCTTTATCTCTCTTTAAAGCGTCATTGACGGAGGAACCCATGCTGGGGGCCATGGCGTTGGTGTGAGCTGTGTGCGGGTACTGATGCGAGTGCAGAGGAGGCCCGTGGTTCAGGTGGTGGACCGGCTGCATGGACCTGGCCGCATGAGGGTCCCCATACATCGTGGAGGGGATGCCTACTCCATCCATGCCCCCATAATGGGGTAGATCGTCGTACTGCATGACAAACAGGAGAAAACAAGGTTCAGAAGGCCAGGCGGGCAAATGGGGAGACAGCAGGGCACCGAGCTTATATAATGTCAGTCCAGCTGGATCCTTCAACCCGGAATTCAGTGGCCTTGAACCTCTAAAGTTGAGATTTCTTATTTTAAAAATGATATCTAGAGTAAAAATTCTAGGATTCCCTCTGAGACTCAGCTGGGATGAACGGTCTTGCCCTAACTTGTGTCCCTATCAACTAGTTCAGAAATTCAGGATCCTGTTGGCAAGGAAGGAAGGAAGAAAGAAGGAAAGAAAGGGAGGCATTCTCCCGGAGGGCGGAAGGTAAAACGTTCATGTCTCTAGAGGAAGAAATTCAAAATCACAATAATAAAACGTGCCAGGACAGTGCAGCAAACCCGCCTAGTTTCACAGCCCCTTCCCATCAGGGGGAATTAAAAAAAAAAAAAAAAAAGTTACGATGGGAACAGCTAAGCTAAGCACATGAATTCAGACAGGCTTCTCATTTTATTTCTCTGCCAGCGTGGGGTTAGGCAGTCCTGCAAGACACTGCATTTCCTTTGCTTTCCAAGGCAAACTCTGCTAAATTATACAAAACTAACTGGCCTCCTTATAAGTGAAACTTAGAGAAACATAGCTTTTCATCTTCATTAGAGCTGAATTTAAAATTGGGCAATTTCCCCTCAAAGTTAAAGAAAACCTATAGTTGGAACAGTTAGATATTCTATTTTCTCTACTCTTATGAACTTTCCCCCCAGATTAGAAGTCAATGAGGCAAATGTAACTCATCAGGTGTAACGTAAATTCAAAAGCAAATGCACATACAACCTCCATCTTCTCTTCTTCAGAAAAACTACTTTCATATTGATTGTCATTATTTTTGTGTTCAAAATTTAGCTATTTAGAATTTTCTCCTTGCTTCATTCCGGGCAAGTTCTTTTCCCAAGATCTGGAGGCGCCAAGAGTGAAATGATTTTCAAAGAAAAGAGGAATTGCCACTTTCATCTCCTTAAAGCCAGAGGTGTGAAAATAGTTTGGAAGAACGCTGACATTTGCCTGAACCAAAGCAGTAAAGAAAAATGTGTCAGCCTAGTAACTTTCTTTTGCAAACAGGGCTTTGAGGGCCAGGACACAAATTATGCAAGGAAAGCTTTTTGTAGACACCCCCTTTCTTTTAAGAAACTACCTCAGTTGGGTTGTCATTGTCTCACTTTACTCTCACTACATTTCCATTCAAATAGGAATATTGGGGAAATTAGTATTACATTTTTAAAGTGAGTAGCTGTGTGCTTAGTATCCAATTAGTGCAGGGCTTTTCTAACAAAAACTTTCAAAGTATTACCTTTTATAAAAATCCATGCACATTAAAATCACTTTTAAAAGATGAATGTTTTCCGACCCCCAAAGCCATTGTACTATGACAAAGTCATTTGCTTAAAAAAGCTAAATACTTCTAATGATAGTAAAAGATGAGCACAATCAATAACATATCAGAAGTTTCTAGCTGCTTCATTTACTTTAAAAATAGCTTTAAACTTCTGCTCCCTGAACCCTCACATTATAGCATTAGATATCTAGCGCTTTTTGTTTTTGTTTTTTAAACAGATGATTGCCCGAGCTTGTATTTTTATTTATATAGCTGCTGGTTAGGAATCTATAGAAAACTTGATTACTTGAATTAATTACATGCAACATACATAAGTCTACAAATGCACTGAATAAATTCTCTCTCTTAGGCCACGGCTTTAGGAGCCTCATTCAAAAAGACAGAGGAAAAAAAAGGAAACTTTTTAGCAGTGTCTTTCAGCCACGTTTCAATTTAATCTCACATTTGAGTTTCACAATTGTTTTTTTTAATACGTACCCTTTGCGCCATCGGCCTCCCTGGCTCCCTTCCTACTTCAACTTCTAATATATCCTCTTTAAGGCCAGTGTGAAAAGAAACAAATAAGCAAACTCCCCCGGAAAAAAAAAATTTTAAAAGCACGACGAAAAATCCCTTAACGTCTCCAGCAACGTGAGCTACTGGTCCCAGATCTTCGGTCTACGGGACCTGAAGCAAAGCGCCCGAGTCACTGAGCATAAAAGCGCTCCGTTTCCAAGACAGCAGCGGGGGCAAAAAAAAAAAAAAAGCAGATCTTCTCTCCCCCAAAAAATCAGTTTAAAAAAAAAAAAAAGAGCGCCCCTCAGACCCAACTACCAAATCTCATGGCTTTCTGCCACTCCGGCTGTCAATCACAGGCGAGGTTGTCAACGTGGTGAATGAATGATCATCCGCTCTGTCTTCTTCTGGTCAGAACACCTCAAATGTTAATATTCAAATGCACAAAGCCCTAGCGCTCGCTTCCCTTGAATCAGTCCTAATTCCTAATCAGTTTCTCTCTTCTCTCGCTCGCTCTTTCTCTTTCTCTCTCTCTCCCTCTTTGCAACTGCTGCACTGGAGGGAGATTAGAGGAGGAGGGTTAAAAAAAATGTCTGTCTGAGTTTGTCTTAAAGGAGCCACGATCGATGCTGCCCGCTTGCAGTCCCCGTGCGTGTGTAAAGTGTGTGTTGCACAGGCGGAGAGGTGGATTCCGACCAGAATGCTAGAACCCGGAAGTAGTGGTGGCCATAACAGGTCGCGTCTTACACAATGCATTGGGCTGCAGCAAGTAGGCTCCTCGGCAGGGGTGGGTGCGCGAAGCGAGCTCTGGCCGCACTGGAGAGGCAGAGAGGCGCTCCATTAAATCGCATGCCCAGGCACAAACACCCACACGGCCAGGGCACACGCGCACAAACGCGGGCAGGAGCCCCCGGCCGCGGGCTTTATTTTCTGTATTCATTCCTCTCCCTCCCCCTCCAGACTCTCCCCAAAGCCGACTCTCTTGAAATAAATTGGGAATAAACGCGGGGCAGGCAGCAGCGGCAGTTATTTTGCACAGGGCTCTGCGCATAGACTTCATGACTTTCCTCGAAATTATTGGGGTCTGCCAGTATTTTTCGGGTCTGAGGGGACTAATGCGGAAAGTACTGGATTCTCAGAACTGACCAACCCAAGTAGAAAAGTCAAACGGGGATGGACGATGAGCAGGAGCAGGCTGGGAAAGGCTCTGCTAAGGAGTCCCGAGAACGTGGGGTGGTGAAGGCTGGGGCTTTCTGCAGATCCAGCTTAGAGTTGCTGTCAGAAGTGGACACCCGGCCCAAGGAAAGGAAATGCTTGCCTTTTCTCACTTTGGGGTCTGGACCTCCCCCACCCCCTAGTCCCGGAGGCCCCCAGCCCCAGCCCCGGCGTCCTGCGCGAAGTGGGAGAGGAAGGGAGGGAACAATGAGCCGAGAGCGGGGAATGTGCCCCAGCGCCTGTTTACAAACACGAAGCTATTTATGATCGCCGGAAAGCGAAACCCGACGCGGGCTCGGAGCAGCCCAGACTTCGCGGGTGGAGCCCGGGCCGGGGAGACTCAGGGAAGCAGGCTCTTTCTCCGACCCGCTCCGAGCGAGGAAGCCGTGCGCCCAGGGCGCGGCGCGGTAGGGTCGGCGCGCTCGGTTCAGGCTACGGCCGCGCTGCCTTTGTCTTCGAAGCGCCGAGGGGCTCTGGCCTCGGCCGTGCTGGGGCCTGGAGGGACCCCGCGCCCCAAGCTCTTCCCCCCCGCGACGCTCTGCGCTCTCCTCCCCAGCCCTTCTAACAACCCCCACTCCGCTTTCCAGTCCCCATTCCGGCTCAGGGAAAACTCCCAGTGCCAAAGAAAAAGAAAATCACTTCGGGAGCTGAGATTCCAGACAAAAACCTGTCCCACCCCGCAACTCGGAGGCTCTAACCAGGCGCTTGATTTTAACTTTCTTCCTTTAAATACGTATTCTCTGGCTTAACAAAATCCTCTCTTTATTCTCCCGCTCTGCGCTTGCCTTTTTATTATTATATTTAGTAGTGTTATTTTCGTTTTTATTTTTCTGCCCGCCCGGCTGTGATACGCCGAGATGGCTCGGCCACAGCAGCTCGACCAGCGGGCTGGAAACCTCACATCCTCGAGCAAGGCTCGCAGCTCGCTCGGCTCGGAGCAGGATTTTTTTTCCTCCCTCCAGCTGAAACCTCACAGAAAACTCCCCCTGCGGTCGACTGGAAAATGAGCTCACCCAAATCTCGGTAGGCAGCCGTGGAGGAGGGCTCGGCCAATCAGGAGGCGCTCCTGCCAAAGCGGCCGCGCATTGGCTGCGGGGAAAATCAATTATCAAATAATCGATCAGCAGGGAGCTTCGATCTGCCGGGAATGCAAACTGCCAGTCCCCATTCCCGCCCTGATGGTGGCCAAAAGGCTGACTCCCCCCAAAGCAGTCGGCCTCTCGCTCCCAACGCCCCCACCCCCATCCCACTCCGCCAGCTGCGGACCAAACCCTCGTCCTAAAGGGGGATGTAGATAGGAGAAAGAGTTTTGAGAAAGATTAGGGTGCTCCTATCCGCAGAGGTTGTTTGGAAAAGGTTAGGAGCTCTCAAATGTATTGAGGCTAACTCTTAATGTGCAAACTAAAAGAGAATTTGCATCAGTCCGAGAGGTAGGACTCAAGTTTCTGTTAAGTGGGCTTTCGAGGAGCAAGGGACACAGGGCGAGCATCAGAACCTGTATCTGGAATCAGGTTGCCTCCAGCGCGCATAGTCTCCCTAAGCGTTGTCTATTCCTTTAGTACTTCTCACGAGTCATCGTCCAGTCCCCCCCCCCCCATAGTGGAGTTTTCATAAAGCCGAGCAGCTGAGTCTTCCCAGCCTCTCGCACACCATCCCCGCCCAGACACCATACTCGCCCCATATGTGCCTAAAGGACTGACACATTCACACCCAAAGCCTTCAGATGCGCTTTGCCTTGAAAGAGCTCCGACTGTTTAAAAAACATCCTAGGATCCTTATCAATTTTTCTTCTCTCTTCCTTTCTCTCCCTCTCTCTAACCACCCCCCCACACACACACCCTTTTTAGGATCTTTAACTTTTCTCTACCGCAAACGTGTAGTTTTTGGGTACAGACGCCCCGGTGCATCACGCGGGAGGTTAAGGCAGGCCCGCATGTCAAAGCCGAGGGTGAATCCAGGTGAATTACCAGCTTCTTGACGCCACTGCCTGACACTCCCACCCTCACCCCACCCACCCCACCGTGAACTTGGAAACCGAACTTCAGGCCAAGATGGAACCTCCCGGTCTCCGGAAGGCGATTTCTCTGTTTAGTTCTCGGGAAAATGCGCTGGCTGGGCCAGACAACGCAATCCTTTTCCGATTACCGGGAGGACCAAACTGGACGGGCAGCCTGCAAGTCTCCCCCGAACCCCAGCCAGCTTTGGCCCTCACCTGAGCGCCTTCCGAAGGCTGCGCGCGGGGGTGTGAGCACTGCAGGTCCAGCAGGCCCGCCAGGCTACAGCGCGGCTGGCTGTAGGGGGGAACGCACGGAGGAGGGGGGTCGAGCCAAACATCGACTTGGGCACATCTACGTTTATGATCCTTAAATGAACTGCGAGGGAAATTGTGTAAGTATAATTTAACTGAGAGAAATTTACTGCGAAATACATTTCGATGATCATAGTCTTTAAGAGTCCTTAGGGGTTCTCCAGTAAAGGCTTACTTAGGTAACCGGCTTGGAGTTACCTCAACTCTGCGGCCATGTTTATAAATTTGGAAAAGGCCAGTTTTGATAAAGATTTCTTTGACAATAGAATTTATTTTGTATTTTTGCTTTTTGGGAAATTTGTTTTCTAGCAGAGATGAAAAAAGAAGATTCAGGTGAAGTCACTCCTTTTCAAACATGACCAAAAACTTCAAAGCAGTAGGAAAACTATTGTGTGCTTCAACCATGATGTGTCAGATTACCTTAAAAATACTTTAAATTACCTACACACAGGTTTTCCTTAAAGAAAGGGATAGTTTGATAGTTTGTGGGCTTAAATAAACTCTTACTAGTTTTGAAAAGTGTCTTCTTTCCTCCCTCCCTCCTCTTCCATTTACAACTGCGAACCTAATGCTACTCCTAGGTCTTTATAAGATTAATTCTGAACAATCAAGGGACTAAAACACTTTTACAGTGTAATTACAGTAGTACAAATTGTTTGCCCAAACCTCATTCTGGATAAGGATTTTACAATTAGCAAACAGTTATTACAGTTGGGGCTTGCTGAGAGAAATTGCACAGAGGAAGTCTAGAGTTGTAATATAGTAGCCATAAAAAAAAAAAAAAACAAAACCAAAACTCTCCTTTGGCAGGGCAGCAATTAATCATCTATTAAAAGGAAAAGGTAAAGGGAGAGTTATAGGTATATTAGTAAACTACCACTGATAATTATACTTGTTCTGTGACAACACCTATCCCGAAGTTATTTCAGATATTTGCTTTTTGAGGCAATAGCACTTTTGTTTTGCAAAAACTTGGCCTGGTGAAGGGTTCTGCCACTTGCCCTTAGCTCTTGCAACACATGCCTTCCATACTCAGCTTGCTCTAAACATCCCAGAGCATCTTCCCAAAGATAGAGAGCGAATACTTTAAAGGGGCAGGCTGAGGCCTAGGTCTCTATTGTTTAGATCTTCCTTGCAAGAAGGCATTTAAAACAAGTGGTGCCCCTTTAGACTGTTGGTACAGTCCTTTCTGAGCACTCCCCTCTAACTTCTGTTCTCCTATAAGGAATTGTGTCTCTGGAAAGACATATACCCTGAATTAGGCTTTTGTCCCCAAAGTTCACACTGATGAGTCAGCTCCAAAACCCTCAGAAATTAAGGAGGCACCTCTTAAGGTAAAATGTGTGTGTATTTGCCAGCCCAGAATAAACAAAAGCCTGTTAATCAATCGAGTTTGGCAGCTGTGTTCACAGAATGATAAGGGTTTATCATCTGCCACCTAACTCTAAGATGCCTGTTAAAATGTTGTGATTGCTCTTTAGGTTGTCCCATGGCGTGGAGGCTTGGGATTTGTACTTCAAGAACATTCAAAGTCTGCGTCTCCCCCCCACCCCACACATACATTAGCATTTGCATTTCAAAAAACAGAAATAAGAAGAGGGAAAGACAGTTTGAAGAAAATGGATTTAAAATCTAGCAGAGATAATAGAGGAATGCTTGAGATAAGAGCCTGGATGTGATAGGAGAGGGGTACCAAGAAGTCAAAGCTAATGAATAGCTGTGAGAAAAGTGAAATAAACTATTTAGAGGTCTATAAAAGGGGAAAACCTGGTTAGGTGATGTGAAAGGGGGTTAACTGAGTGGATTAGGGAAGACGTTAATCAGGGGCCCCAAAGCCATCCGGGCTAGAAGAACTGAGAGATTTGTTTACTGCATTTTGCTTCAGAAAACAATGTCTGGGTCCAGTTCAGAAGTCAGTGAGAGGTCAGTTTAGGCTCTCTAACCATTGCAGGGAAAATACCTAAGTCACTATATTCTGACTGGATAAAGCAAAAGTTAAGGAAAAAAAAAACTGGGGGGGGGGTGGTGTTGTTTTCCTTACTACCTTTCTATTTCAAATCATTAAAATGCTTTCGTCTCTAGAGGGGGAAAATTACACTGGTTAACATAATTACTAGCTCTGACATTTTCAGAAGTTATAGAGGTCTTTTATTAATTAAATG